CGCTGTGCCGGGAGAAGTCACGCTGCCACTTGGCGGCTGATTGTCACTCGCGGTGATGGGGACAGGCACGGCACACGCGGGGACCTCCACGCTCAGCCCTGACCCTGAGAACACAGGGGCAAAAATCGCCGCTGCCACTTCCCACCTTGGGGCGGGGATGCTCCGGAGGGGATGGGGACAGGGCCACCCCGCTGTGCCCACCGCTGCCACACGCCAGGGCCAGCCGGTGACATCCGCCCCGTGACGGTGACATCTGGGATGGACCCGGGGAGCTGAGCATCCCCTGAGCTGCTGCCAGCCGTGGGGTGGCTCTTGGGGACAGCCAGGGACATCTGTCCCTTTCCTCTGAGGTCTCCAGCTAAGAAGCAATAGAGAAACCTCTGATTAAACCTCAATGCTAATTAATCTCGGCTGGAACATCGGCAGCCCGGGAAAAGATGTTGTGGATCCTCAGTGGTGCAACCAGCTCCTCGGTGCCAACTCCTGAGCTGTCAGGAGGTCACTGCTGCTCTGGGACAGTTAATAGGAGGTTGCCAAGACAATGCTGAAGTGCTGGAGTTGTGGGGGGTGGAAGCTGAGGAACCTCGTGGGGGGCCAGAGGGTCCTGGCACTGTTGTGGACCCCCAGAAGCTTCAGCTGCCTCAAGTTTTAGAAAGGGCCAGGGTGCTCCTTTCTGCCCAGAGCTCCTTGGGGTACAAAGGCCACCGTGTCCTTCCCATGAAGGGTTAGGGGAAGGGTGTTGTACATGACCATGTGAAATCACTTCCTTTCACGTTCCTTGGATGGATGGCAAAGCTGAAAACATCTGGGGTTTGTCTTGGCTGAGGAACATGAAACACACCACACAGCTCTGTGTGGCTGTGAAGTCCAAGCCACCTTTCCTAGGTGACCTAGGGAAGCTGCTTCGATGGGAAACCTTCCCACTCCCGTGGAACCAAACCTTTAAGTCCAGAAAAACCTGTTGGCATCACCTAAGGAGGTAGGAATCCCATGGGATGGAGTTACTAGTGTTCTTATTTGACATGAAGCCTCAGTTTTCCCCCGGGAGAGCCGTGTGTCACATCAGCTACATGGCACATGTGTCATGTCATGAATTTTTATGCTTGGCAGAGCATCCCTTGGGAGATCCTGGGTGGAAGTGAAGCTGGGGCTGGGGATGCTGCTGAGAATAGAATTCCGGGCTGGTTTGGGTCAGAAGGGACCTTCAAGATCATCCAGTCCCACCCCTGCATGGGCAGGGACACCTCCCACCAGCCCAGGCTGCTCCAAGCCCCATCCAACCTGCCCTTCAACACTGCCAGGGATGGGGCAGCCACAGCTTCCCTGGGCAACCTGGGACAGGCTCTCACCACCCTCACACTCCACAGTTCCCTCCTCATGTCTCACCTTGATCTCCCCTCTTCCAGTTTTCATCCCTTCCTCCACTTCCCTCTGGATCCCCTCCTCACGGTGTCTGGCTGGACATGGGGCTGGCCAAGTTTGGAATTAGGATTTGGAGAGGTGTGGGGTGGGTGGGATGATCCTGTCCGAGATGTGTGGAGGGGGGTGGGCAGTGTCTGCACCCGGGGGGGGGGGGGGCTGGGTGCACTCCCAGGGGAGGAGGGTGACCAGGCAGTGCAGCAGGTGGCACCGAGCAGGGAGGGGAGCAGAGGTGCTGCTGGGGAGGAAGAAGAGGGAGGTGTTTGGGTGAGGGGTGGGTGCACCCAGGGCTGGGGGCTGCACCCCTGCCGGACAGACAACACCGAGCGTGTTCCCAGGCACATGGGAAGCCCATGTGCTGCTGCTCGGCTGCCGGTGCTGGAGAGCGAGCCCGGAGCAAGAGCACAACCACACACACACACACACACACACACACACACACACACACATCCCAGCCTTCCCAGGGGGGGGGGAATGATTTTTTTCCACCCTTGCCTTCATTTCCTGGAGTGCTCCGAAGGAGAAAAAAACCAAACAACCCAAACCTCAAGAGAGGGGAGCCGGAGAGGTGAACAGCTCTGCCAGGGTGATGGGAAAGGCTCTGTACAGAGGGCTAAAAATATCCCGGCAGTGCCCAGATGCTGGCGGGGGCTTCGGGAACAGGGATGGAGCAGAAGGAGCCTCGCCCGGCTGTAATTAGAGCTGGTAATTTGCTCCGAGCAGCGCACATCGCACCCTCCCCCGCTTGGGAGTGCTGGGAAACGGGGAAGCAGCAGCTGGAATCGCGCTGAGAACAGCCGGGCTGTGGGTCCCTTCGGAGGCAGGAAAGGGGGGTTGGTTTGTTCCCAGGAGGAAAAGCTCCAGGCGCCCCTGGGGTCCTGGGGGTGGGGGGGGAGCAGGAGAAGGGCAAGAGGAGGGGGAGGGAAGGGCTGGATGAGGGGAAGATGCTCGGGAAGAGCCAAAAGCAAAGGGAAGAGCCCCAGTGAAGAAGGGAGAGGGAACCTGCAGGGAGCAGAGGGCAGGGATGGGGGCACCAGGCGGTGCTGGGAGTGATGCTCCAGCCAGGGTGACCCCAGGCACAGTAGCAGCCTCCCCAAGAAGATGCAGTAGCCCCCCCGGGTGTCTCACAGGAGCCAGCAGCTCGTCTCCTTCACCCCCCCTCAGCAGCACCGGGGTTGCAGCTGATGGAAAAAGCCTCAAGACTCCCTGGGGAGAAACCACCGGGTGGGATCCAGGCAGGTCCTTGGCTGTGCAATCCCAGGGAGCAGCCCTGGGCGGGGGGACACACACACACAGGCAGGGATGGGAGAAGCTCCCTCAGCTCCTGGGGGAGGAAACTGAGGCACAGACACTGGTGGCAGGAAGGGGTGGGCAGGGATGAGCTCCCCTCTTGGCACCAGCACCCCCCTCTCCTTGCCCAGGGGGCCAGGCCCAGAGGTCAGTGTCACTCAGAGCAAAACCAAAGGTCTGCGTGAGGTTTGGGTTCAGTTTCTCCCCTTTTGCAAAGGCTGGGGATGTGATGGGGGGTGGGGGGAGGGCAGGGCAGACCCCCTCCCAGCCCAGGAAGGTGCTTGGGTATTTCTGGCTGTTTCAAAAGGCACGTTTCTTGCAGGCTTTGCTTGGAAATGACTTTAATCTTCATAAGCCCCAAAAGTAAAGCTGCTTATATGGCCAGGGCCTGCTGGAGCACCAGGAGGAATGAAGGTGGGGATGTGGACAGGATGGGGGGTGGGGGGGGAGGTTTAGTCCAGGAGAAATGAAACCCTAGAGTGGATCAAGCCCCATCACATCCCTGTCCCAACCCCTCAGGACAACCTGAGGTCTCCAGGGAAGGGGGTCAGGGAGCACTTTGGTAGCTGCTGGGACCTCCCCTCTGCCCTGAAATGCTCCCAAAGCCTGGGTTGCTTCATCCTCCATCCCCCCCAGCCCCGAGCTGTGCTGAC